CTTAAAGATAAGATATAGTGTAAACTTGTTAACTATTTTGCTCTTGGACCGAGGAAAGTCATAAGGCATGAGAACCTCAGCTTCTAACACAAAACATTCTCGCAGAGACAGAAGCTATGAAGAAGAAGGACTTCTGGGAAGACGTACTCATTATATGATCAACCCATTGATGTTTTGCCTTAGAGTGCATTCTGCTGGATCGCGAAGACGAGATTTTATATCTGAGCTGCGAAGTCCGACGAGATGTTGCGTCGGTTGTATTTCAGAAGACGTCGTTATAGCGCTCTATGGGTTGTTCGAAGTGCCTTCGACGTAGCTACAGTGTCAGGCCACGTCTCTGCTGCGTAACAGAGCGCAGGGAGTACGGTTGAACTGAACCGGTGGGCTCGGAGCTTTGTGTCCCAGTCGGTCTGTGGCTTTCTTTAGGAGCCTGAAGGCGGCCCAAGCTGTTTTTCACCTCCTGTTCAGTTCTTCTTTCAGGTGGTTCTCCATGTCCATCGAACGCCCGAGATATACGTAAGAAGACCTTCCGCGATTGGAGAGCCTTCTAATTCCATTTCCTGATCCTCCGTTCTTCATGAGCTGAGCCTTCTTCCGGTTGATTCGCAAAACCGCTTCGCTACTTCGTTTTGTTCCTTCAACATTTTCTCCGCTTCATTGATATTCCTCGCGAAGAGAGCAATCGTCCGCAAAACGATGGATCGAGAGGAAGTTCCTATCAACTTGTATACCTCTCACGTTTCCAGTGATTTCATCACCCACTGCAAAGCGGTGGTAAACAACGCTGGGATACGCCGTCGCCTTGTCGAACCTCCTTCGAAAATGGTATGTGGAACGATGGAAAAGCTGCACCGTTGAAGAGCAGTTCTTGTAGCAGTCGACCAACGTCCTCACGTAAGTTGGGTCCACCCTTTATCGACAAGCGCTGACAGCACGGCATTAGTCTCGACGCTGTGAAGCGCTTTTCTTTGCGCAATACAGCTTGTTCTACAGGTTGGGGAGCGAGAATATTCTCGTGAAGAGCTTGTAAAGCACGCTCAGCAGGCATATTGAACAGTAGTTCCGCAGATCCTGCTTATCGCCCCTCTTATGAAGAAGGAGTTCGGGAGATTCTCCACTGGTCGGGGATCCTTTCCTTTTAAAGGTAAGACGTTAGATGTTCCACAAGTATCTCGTATAGGCGGTGTCCTCCAGCTCGTAAGTGGTCGGCCGAAACATGGTCCGCTCCCAGAGCCGTGGCTGCTTTCATGGTCTGGATTGCGGCGCGTACTTCAGCAGTAGACTCCGTGGTGGTATTTCGCCAGTGGGAATAACGGAGTTCGACACGAGTGTTGACGAGCGAGAAATCGGTGTAAAATCTCTTCGTGAACGATTCCATCTTTTGTCGGGAAGATGTGCGAGTCCCGTCCTCCTTTTTTAATGTTGTCAGCGGAACA